GAACAGCAGAATAAGCAAGCAGAGGAACAGAGAGAACAAATAATTTCTAAAAATGAGAAGATGCTAAGAGAGCTGTGTGACAACTTAAAATGGAACAGTATTCACCTAATCTCCCTAGAAGGAGAAGAGAGAAAAAAAGTAGTAGAAACTCTTCTATTATGAAGAAATAATAGCTAAAAATTTCTCCAATCTAGGGAAAGAAGGAAGATACTCAGGTCCTGGAAACACAGAGAGCTCCTAACAAGAGGAACCCCAGGAAGACAACACCAAGACACACGGTAATTAAAATGGCAAAGATTAAAGAGAAAGAGAAAAATTTTAAAGCAGCAAGAAAGGATCTAAAAGACAAACTCCATAAGGCTATTAGCAGATTTCTCAGCATGAACTTTACAGGCCAGGAGTGGCATGAAATATTTAATGTATTAAAAGGGAAGAATCTACAACCAAGAATCCTCTGCCCAGTGAGATTATCATTCAGAATTGAAGGAAATATTGAAAGTTAAAAAGAATTTTCCACCACTAACCAGCCTTACAGGATATGTTAAAGGGACTTCTATAGATGGAAATAATCTTAAGTCTAAATATTGTTCATCAGTGAAAATAAACCTACAATAGAGGTAGTAGACCAATTACTTACTAAGCAAGTATGAAGTTAAAATAGACAAAAGTAGTAAAATCAACAACACACAAAAATCAGTCAAGGGATGTACAAAAGATGTAGATTATGACATTTATACATAAAGTGTGGAGAATAAGAAAAAGAGCAACCATTAATTTAATATAGACTGTGTTTATATTTAGGAAACTATCTATGAACCTTATGGTGACTACAAAGCTAAAGCCTATAACAGATACAAAAAAGTAGTAATAAAAAAAAGAAACCTAAGCGTAACACTAAAGAAAACAATCAAATAATAAGAGAAGAGCATAAGAAAGGAAGAAAGGAACAGAGAGAAACAACAAAACAACCAGAAAACAATGAATAAAATGGCAATAAGTTATACCTGTCAATAATTATCTTAAATGTAAATGGACTAAATATGCCAGTCAAAAGATATAGGGTAGCAGAATGGATAAAGAAACAAGATCCATCTATATATTCTGCCTACAAGAGATTCATTTCTGATATACATAGACTGAAAGTGAGGGGATAGAAAAACATACTTCACACAAATAATAGGGAGAAAAAAGTGAGGAGCAGTACTTATACAAAATAGATTTGATTTCAAAACAAAGAAAGTAACAAGAGACAAAGAAGGACATGACATACTGATAAAGGGATCAGTCCAACAAGAGGATATATAAGAATAATAAATATCTATGCACAGAACACAGGAGCACCTAAATTTATAAAACAAATACCAACAGACCTGAAGGGAAAAATAGACAGCAACATAATCATACTAGGGGATTTTAACACCCTACTTACATCAATGGACAGATTATACAGACAGAAAATGAATAAGGAAACAAAGGTACTGAACAATACATTAGATCAAATGGACTTAACATATATCTACAGAACATTCCACCCAAAAGTAGCAGGATACACATTTTTCTCAAGTGTACATGGAATGTTCTCCAGAACAGATGATATACTAGGCCACAAAAGAGCCTCAATAAACTCAGTAAGACTGAAATTGTATCAAGCAGCTTCTCAGACCACAGTGGTATATAACTAGAAATAAATTACACAAAGAAAAGAAAAAAGCCTACAAACACATGGAAGCTAAACAACACACTTCTAAATAAGCAATGGACCAATGAACAAATCAAAAAGGAAATCAAACAATACAAGGAGACAAATGGAAACAGAAATACCATCATTCAAAATAAGCAGTATGCAGCAAAAGCAATTCTAAGAAGGAAGTACACAGCAATACAGGCCTATCTCAAGAAACATGAACAATTTCAAATAAACAATCTAAACTCATATTTAAAGTAACTAGAAAAAGAACAAATGAAACCCAAAGTCAGTAGAAGGAGGGACATAATAAAGATAAGAACAGAAATAAATAAGAGGATAAGAAAACAGAAAAAAATTATGAAACCAAGAGCTGGTTCCTTGAGAAGATAAACAGACAGACAAACCTCTAGCCAGAATTATCAAGAAAGAGAGATAAAGGACACAAATAAACAAGATCAGAAATGAAAAAGGAGAAGTAACAACTGACACCAGAGATACTCAAAGAATCATAAAAGAATTCTACAAAACATTATGTGCCAAAAAATTGGGATAACCCAGAAAAAATGGACAAATTCCTAGAAATGTACAATCTTCCAACACTGGCCCATGAAGAAAGAGAAAATATGAACAGATTGATTACCAGTAACAAAATTGAACTGGTAATCAAAAAACTCCCAACAAACAATAATCCAGTACCACACAGCTTCATAGGTGAATTCTATCAAGCATCTAAAGAAGAGCTAATACCCACCCTTCTTAAAGTATTCCTAAAAACAGAAAAGGAGGGAATACCTTAAAACTCATGCTATGAGGTCAGCATCACTCTAATACCAAAACCAAAGACACTACAAAAAAAAAGAAAATTACAGACTAATATCCCAGGTGAACATACATGCAAAAAACTTCAGCAAAGTATTTGCAAACTGAATTTAAAAATACATAAAAAGGATCATCCATAATGACCAAGTGGGATTTATTCCAGGGATGCAAGGATGGTACAATATTTGCAAATCAATCAATACCATTCCCACATTAACAAAAGGAAGGATAAAAACCACATGATTATCTCAACAGAAAAGCACTTGACAAAATTCAACATCCCTTCATGATAAAAACAACAAAATGGGTACAGAGGGTACATACCTAAACATAATAAAAGCCTTATATGGCAAACCCACAGCTAACATCATACTCAATGGCAAAAAGCTAAAAGATTTTCATCTAAGATCAGGAACCAGACAAGGATGCCCATTCTCTCCACTTTTACTCAACATGGTACTGGAGGTCCTAGCCAGAGCAATCAGACAACACAAAGAGATAAAACATATTGAAAATGGTAAGGAAGAAGTTAAACTGTCACTACTTACAGATGACATGATATTATACATAAAAAACCTTAAAGACTCTACCAAAAAACTATTAGAACTAATAACTGGATTAAGTAAAGTTGCAGGGTACAAATTAATACACAGAAATCTGTTGCATTCCTATATATTCCTATATACTAACAACAAACTAGCAGAAAGAGAAATTAAGAAAACAATCCCATTTACAACTGCATCAAAAAATATAAAATACCTAGGAATAAACCTAACCAAGAAGGTGAAAGACCTGTACTCTGAAAATTATAAGATACTCATGAGAGAAATTAAAGAAGACACCAATAAATGAAAATCCATCCTGTGCTCCTGAATAGGAAGAATTAATATTGTCAAAATGGCCATCCTGCCCAAAGCAATTTACAGATTCCTTATCAAAATACCAACAGCATTTTTCAATGAACAAGATCAAATAATCTTAAAATTCATATTGAACCACAAAAGATCCTGCCAAAGCAATCCTGAGAAAGAAGAAAAAAGCATGGGGTGGGGGTGAGAGGGGATTATACTCCAACTTTAAGCTATACTATAAAGCTACACTGAGGTACTGGCACAAGAACAGACACATAGATCAATGGAACAGAACAGGGAGCCCAGATATAAACCCATGCATATATGGTCAAGTAATATATGATAAATGAGCCATGAATATACAATGGGGAAAAGACAGGTCTTCAGTAAGTGTTGGGAAAACTGAGCAGCAATATGCAAGAGAATGAAACTGGATTATTAATTCCATACACAACAGTAAACTCAAAATGGACCAAAAACCTGAATGTAAGACATGAAACCATGATACTCTTAACTAAAAAGCTTCTTTAGAGCAAAGGACACCATCAGCAGAACAAAAAGGCAATCTACAGTACAGGAGAATGTATTTGTAAATTACATATCTGATAATGGATTAATATCCAAAATATACAAAGAACTCACATGCCTCAACACCAATAAAACAAATAACCTGATTAAAAACTGGGCAGAGGACCTGAATAAACATTTTTCCAAAGAAGGCATACAGATGGCCAACAAGTACATGAAAAGATGCTCCACTTCACTAATCATCAGAGAAAGCCAAATCAAAACCACAGTGAGATACACCTTACACCAGTTATAATGGCCACAATCCAAAAGACAAGAAATACTAAATGTTGATGAGGATGTGGAGAAAAGGGAACCTTCCTACACTGTTGGTGGATGTGAACTGGTGCAGCCACTATGGAAAGCAGTACGGAGGTGCCTCAAAAAACTAAAATAGAAATACCATACAACCCAGTAATTCCACTTCTAGGAATCTATCTGAAGAAAACAAAATCTCTGACTCAAAAAGATATACACCCCTATGTTAGTGCCACATTATTTACAATAGCCAATATATGGAAGCAACCAAAGTGCATATTAATAGATGAGTGGATAAAGAAGATGTGGTACATATACACAATGGAATAATATTCAGCCATAAAAAGAAAAGAAATCATCCCATTTGCAACAACATGGATGGACCTAAAGGGTATTCTGTTAAGTGAAATAAACCATGCAGAGAAAGACAAATACCATATGATTTCACTTATATGTGGAATCTAAAACCAAAACAAAACAAAACAGCAACAGACTCCTAGACATTGAGAATTGACTAGTGGTTACCATGGGGGAGGGATTGGGGTGGGTGAGTGAAATAGGTGAAGAAATAAAGAGGCACAAAAAACTCAATGATAATACAAGTTAGTCAAGGAGATAAAAGTAAAGCATAGAAAATACAGTTATGTAACATCTTTCTATGTTGACACATAGTAACTATACTAATTGGGGTGAGGATGTAATAATGTATATAACTGCCAAATCACTATGCTGTATACTTGTAACCAATATAGTATTGTATATCAACTACACTTCAATTAAAAAAATACATCAACAACAACAAAATAAGTAAAATTTACCTTCTTGTGGGTTGAGTTTTGAGATCCTTTAAATATACAAATCCATCTATTCGATGACCACGGGCCTCACCAAAAGCTAAAAATAATCAATTAACAATTAATGATGATCAAACAAAACTGAGATAAATTTTGTGACAATATCCTTGGATTTCTCTAATCAATTAACAGATTACATAATATAATTATTTATTATGGCACTGATGAAATTCTAAAAATTTAGAGAAGTATTTAATTAAAAAATTACTACCTTAATTTTAAGGTTCCTATTATTTTTAGGAATATTATTATTTTAGTAGAGTAAATGGCTATACTAAATAGGAATCCTATTATTTGAGTATAGTAAATGGCTATACTAAAAACCTAGTTAAAATGTATTTAGTTGAAAAGGTGCTAATGGAAAAGCAAAATAACTTAGAATAAAAATAAAAGCATTCTTATCCATATTTTGATCTATAGTCATTTACATGGTACTAGACATTTCTTAACATTGAAGCTTGCTTTTAGCTGAACTGAATAAAAGTACCTTGAATTGCTGTATCTGGATCCCAGCCTTCAACATCAATAAGATACCTGAATAAAAATATGGCTGAATTTTAAAATTTTTTTCTCAAGAAAACAGACTTGAAAATACAGCAACTACATCATTCTTACCTACATATAAGGTATCCTGTTCTGTTGATTCCATTAGTACAATGAACTCCAATGAGTTTATCTATAACATGTAAAGAAACATTAAAAAGTATGAAAAAATAATTAAGATGAGAATAGTACAATAAGAATATGTTTTATATACAATTTATCACATAATTTTCAGTAAACTACCACTGGAAGAATTCTTAGTCATTAAATTTAAATCTAGTATGGTAAAGGGACACTATCAAAGATTCAGGAAAGACACAGCCTTTTTGTTTTGACCCTATAGTATTAAAGGTACATTTTTAAAGTTAACCAAATGAAGGACCAAGTTTATATGATATTCATGAGTAACATGCTTCACACATTATTTAGAAAGAAATAATTTTAAACTTACTTCTTTGTTCTTAGTTGCCTTTACACTCAATGAAATGTGCTAATACTTTCTGGTTACTAGAAATATCTATGACATCATTTCTCCCTTAGGCACATTATCTGTTACCACAACTGAAGACAAAAGTAAGATGAATCTACTGACCTTTATGGATGGGCCAGGAATCTCTTTATTCATGACAGGGGTGACCTATCTTAAAGAATTTCCCTACCTGTGAGGTTAAAATTTGAATTCTTTCTTAGGGAAGACAGGTTTTGAGAAGCGTATCTATCTTCTGGTTATTATTTCTGTGGAAATTTTTCAGTAACACTGATGCTCTAGATGTTTCTTTTTTCACTTGTATTTACCTTACATTCACTTTTCCTATCCTCTCAATCCAGCACTCCTCAAAAGAGTTGAGTTGCTTCCTCTCTGCAAGATCACATGTGAAGACTTAGAAAGCATTTGTTAGTGTCTGCTAAGACATTGTTTTCAAATGATAGAAAGTTAAAAATCCACATTTCTATGTCTTTAAATTATTTTCAAATACCATAAATTTCTGTGTGGACATATTTAGGTTTTATGTGGGAGTTTAGAGACCTGCTTTCACTGTTTTATAGTTTGAGTGGAATGAATTTATTTTTGTTGAAATAAAATTAATAATTTCAATTGAATCTAGCTGGCACCCTGTAGCAGGGTAAGAACTACAAGTAAAAAAAAGCAGGTATCATAATACAAAATAAATGTACATGGGTGTTATGAGAATACTTAAAAGAGAGCCTTTTATTTCACACTGGGGAGAAGAGGTTTCAGAGAAATTTGAAAAAAGTATTTCAATAATCTTGAGAAATGAGATAGAGTTCACCAAATGAACAAGAAGGGAAAACATTTCAATGAGAACAGTGTATGTAAAGACAAAGAGGATAGCACATGTGCAAGACACAGACTTGTGAGACATTTGTGAAACAGATACATACAGCTTTTATAAAGGGAGTTAAGAATCAGGCCATGAAGCACCTCCTGTCACCTTAAGGAATTTAATGATTAGCTGGGATGCCACAGAAAAATTTTAAGCAATGGACTGACCTGACAAGATGTGCATTTTAGAAAGGTAAATTGGTGGAAGTCTGGAGGAATGATTGGTGGGAGGAGAAGCAAGAAATCTACTTAGGATGCCATCATAACAACCCACATGAGAGAGGTTGAGAGTAGATTTGGAGAGGAAGGGGCAGGGAGTTCAGTTTTTGACATGTTCAGATTTTTGGTGTTACATGAACCCCTTGTTAGAGATACCAAATGTCTGTGAACACAGACATGGAGCTCAAGAGAAAGGTTTGTGCTAGAGATTTAGATTTGGGAGGCTAAAGTTGAAGAAAAGAAGAGACCAAATGAATGGAGTGAAAAGAAGGCTTAGGACAGATTTTTTTTAAAAATTAAATCAAGCCATCTTATTAAGGAGATCGGGGTTGAAGGGCTGGGAGGACAATGAGATCTGAAGTTCTCAGCCCAGCTGGCATCTCCTCAGCTTTGCAGTTGCCAAAAGCAGGACAGAATCTTAAAAAACAGTAGCTGTCAAGGATTTGAACAGAAAAAACAAACAAGATAGCTGGAAAAGCTAAGTGAAAAATACTTAAGGAGAAAAAAATGAGGAAAATAATATAGAAGCGAAGAGAAAAATTTAAGGAAGGAATGAACAAGAGAGGTTAAGCTTACAGAGATTGAAGCAAAAGAACAAAAGACAACTTCTTTGAATTTCTACAACCCTCTAACTGAACTACAATTAGAGGGTTATAGAAATCAGATTACAGGCAATGAATAGGAATCTATTTAGTGAATGGGAATGGAAGAAATGAAAACAATGAGTGGAGACAACTCTTCCACAAGCGTAATCAGGAAAGGAAAAACAGAATGAAAGAAGAAATTACGGTTGCAAAGTGGAGAAACGGGTACTATTTTAAGAGATAGGATGGCCTGCGCATGTTTGCATGTTGATATTACAGTGGTATAAACTGTTATTACAGAGAATAAATGTGAAAACATCCTGGAGAAGGCAGGATTGGAGAGACTATCTAGCAGAGGTAGACAATTAGTCTGCTTTTCTAAGGAAAGCAGACAGAAGGAAGGCTATGCAAATTGGGATACAGATAAGACAACTGAGAAAGGTACGTCATACCTGATGTCCTCTATTTTCACTGAAAAGTGGGAAGCTGTGTAACTGATGAGAGTGAAGAAGATGAATGTGATGTAGTAGCAACATATGGAATCAGGTGAGTGAGCTGAGCAGCAACTGCTAAACAGCATTGAGAATCTAGCTGAAACACATTAATCCATGGTGGCACCCATCTATCTGTGTAGGTATTTTTTCTAATCTGCAAGAGACGAGGAGGACTGTTGGATTAAGTCAAGGTTGAATATTCCACTAGGGTTTTAGAGAATATTTGTTAAAGATCTGTGGGTGACTTTTGGGATAGGGAAGAAAAATGGATGTGTACTGTTAAAAAGGAGATAGCAGATCCAAAATGAAGTCACTTACACTAAACCCCATCAAGACTTAATACCTAATCAAACTGCAGTTTCAGAGTCTCCCAGAAATGTGACCTTTAGCTAACCAACCTGGAATTTCATGGTCAGCAACAGGAGGTAGGTAATCCGATGATAGACTCCTTTCATTCCCCTTAGAAGGGCGACCTTGCCTAAAACAATGCATTCTTTGCTAATAATTGACTTTTCTTCTCATCCTTCCCTGCCTTTAAACACCTTCCTTTTTCTGCAGCTTAATGGAATTAAGCTTTATTAATGCTTATTACAGAATGAACTACATGGACTAGGTAATTAAAACAGATGCCAATTCTCTCTTTCCTACCTATATGAATCTCCTTTCTATTTGTTAAATGGGATGTTGCCTGATTCATGAATAAGTAATACTCTAAAGTAAATTCATCTATTGTGAAGCTTCTATCAGAGATAAAGGTAAAATGGCTGACAATTAAGCTTTAAAAATGTGTAAATAATACCTTGTTTTTTTAAAGCAAGTATTTAAAATTATGAAATACATGTTCATTATAAAATAGAAAAACCCTAAAATATAGAACTACAAATAAGAAAACAAAAATCCTAGATACTATTAACATTGTGATGCTTATCCCTTCAGATATGTTTGCACATGTTATTTATAAATACTTATGCAATGACATTGTCATTTAAAAACATCTCACATTTTCACAAATGCTTAGTTTATAACATCTGTCAAGTAATCCATGAGTATGTACATGCCATAATTTATTTAATAAATTTCATATTAATGATCTTTTAGGTGCTTTTCAATTTTTTCAATATTGTAAACACATCAATGGACATTCTTATAAATACATAAATAAATACCTCTATTTACTTAAGAAAGATTCCCCAAAATACATTCATGGAGAGGTTTACACAGTTTTTAAATGTTACTTTCTTTTCTATAGGAAGTCAACTATACCCCAAAAGGATTAAGATGTACCTTACTTTATGCTACCTATTCTTTCCAAAAAATGTTATTTCTTAGTTAATTTTAAAACACTGAGTTATATTTTTATGTGCTCTGAGGGTGTTCGCACTTAAGAAATGCTATAGGGAATCTACTTGTAAAGCAAATAATTATCCTTTAATGTACCTTTTCTGTGAGGTTTACTTTACCCAAAGCAATTTTTCTTAAAGTGAGGGGTGTGCATTATAATCTCAGAGGAAATCTTTGATAATGTCCTTTTAGCTAAAAGTATTTAAGCAAAATATGCATAACATGTTCAAGTGGCCTACAACAATTTCTACTAAAATAATCTTAATCAGTTAAATAAAAATGCTTTGATTATATTAAATGTTGTTAATTACCATTTTTTGCATTTTCCCACAGGAACTTTCTGACCCACTTTTTGAACTGCAGAATAGTAGCATTATTAGGAACTTCAAGGCCAACAGTGTAAAGTTTTTTATAATGAATACTTTTAGGTAAATCCTAGAAACAAAAGAAAATATATAAGTGCAACAATTGTAAGTTATTAAAAACAAATTCTTTAACCCAGTTAAACTCACAATTCAGTGCTTTAAAAATTGGGCACAATGATTATACTGAAGGCACATTTTAGATTAATTTGTGTAGAATTCTTGTAGTTTACATAAAAAGGCTATAAAATAAGCCCAATTTCCAGGGGTTAATGACAGTCATGAGTTAAGGATTCAAGTGATTAAGTAGCCACAGTCAACCTAACATAAAAGATTAAAGTTGTAATTCCACAGTTGGTGTTAGAATTCTAGATGTCAGTTTAAGCTATGTTTGTAAGCCTGTTTTAAAGTGGTTAATATTTCCCTAATTCCAAAATTCGTAAGAGAATTTAAAGTGGAGGCTACAAGACGAAAAGGACTAATTTCATCATTTAAGTAAAATCAGTTTATCAACTAGTAACATTCAATTAAAGAATGAGAAGGTTGGTGATGAGTCTAAATGTGTAAGATAATATATTTGGAAAAATAAGGACAATGAACCTTGAACAGTTATATGCCAAATAAAACTAGCAGTTACACGCACAACAAGTCACTAGTGGCTGTAAATGCTAGGCCTTGAAGAGCAGGTAGATTTTTGGACAGGGATAGAGAAAAAAAAATTCCAAGTTCATGGAACAATTTGAGTCACAGAATCAAGAATGAGCACAGAATGTTCATGAGATAATAAAAAGACATATCTAATTAAAGGAGATTGTATGTTGTAAGGGACAGAAGAACAAGATGAGAAGGGGCCAGATAAAACTGGGTAGGGAGAGGAGTTCAGCTGGGTAACATTAAAAACAAGTGGGAGGGCAGAGAGAACTAAGGATTTTTTTACGAAGGAGCTGAACAGATATTTTTAGGAAGTTAGTAGAATTGACATGAATATTATGTCAAAGGACAGCTAGTCAAAGATGAAAAAGACTAGCTGCTGAATAATCAGGTGAAAGACCTGGAGAATCTGTGACACATTTCAGGAGAAAAAAAATCTACAGGTTTTAGTCCTTGACCTGATGGAGGGTACCAGGAAGACAGAGATGCAATGGATTTGAACCTGACTGGTAGACTTAACAGTGGTGCTTTCCAGAGAAAAAGGAAAGTTGAAGAGAATGCTAATTTGTACTTTGGGGAAGGAGTGGTGTGGAAGTAAAGAAATAATGTTATGTTTAGTTTTATATGTGTTGAAATATGGCCTGGCAGCAACGTACCAAGACAAAATGTCACCTAATCAGGGTAGGAATGACAGATGACATCTTTGATGGTACCAATCTAACTGAACAAGGTTTAAGAGTTATTTTCTCTAGAGCAAGGGCTAAAACTCTTGCTCTCCAAAGTCCTAAGATTGGGGATGGGGAAGGTAGGGCTGGAGAATGATGATGAGGCCCAGTGGGTCCTAATCTCTTTATTCAATCAGCACAACTCCCCATTTGTCTGCTTTCTATAATGGGCTTCAGAGCAAGATTTAATTGAAAGGATTTTGCTGCTAAAAAAAGTTAAACACTGTTGTAGAGTGATTCCCATCATGCATTTTTTTCTTTGTCTTTTTTATTTTTCTTTCTTTTCCATCATAGTGCTTTCTTTCTTCCTTTTGTTCTTGCTCCATTTTTGCTTTTCCTTTCTATTTCCATCTACATGTCTTTCTTCTAAATATTTTGTTCTTTTAAAAATAACAAAATCCCACTTTTTTCTTGCACAATACATGATTTTAGAAAAAGGATACTTGAAGACAGAGATGCAATGGATTTGAACCTGACTGGTAGACTTAACAGTGGTGCTTTCCAGAGAAAAAGGAAAGTTGAAGAGAATGCTAATTTGTACTTTGGGGAAGGAGTGGTGTGGAAGTAAAGAAATAATGTTATGTTTAGTTTTATATGTGTTGAAATATGGCCTGGCAGCAACGTACCAAGACAAAATGTCACCTAATCAGGGTAGGAATGACAGATGACATCTTTGATGGTACCAATCTAACTGAACAAGGTTTAAGAGTTATTTTCTCTAGAGCAAGGGCTAAAACTCTTGCTCTCCAAAGTCCTAAGATTGGGGATGGGGAAGGTAGGGCTGGAGAATGATGATGAGGCCCAGTGGGTCCTAATCTCTTTATTCAATCAGCACAACTCCCCATTTGTCTGCTTTCTATAATGGGCTTCAGAGCAAGATTTAATTGAAAGGATTTTGCTGCTAAAAAAAGTTAAACACTGTTGTAGAGTGATTCCCATCATGCATTTTTTTCTTTGTCTTTTTTATTTTTCTTTCTTTTCCATCATAGTGCTTTCTTTCTTCCTTTTGTTCTTGCTCCATTTTTGCTTTTCCTTTCTATTTCCATCTACATGTCTTTCTTCTAAATATTTTGTTCTTTTAAAAATAACAAAATCCCACTTTTTTCTTGCACAATACATGATTTTAGAAAAAGGATACTATATGATTATGTGAAGAACTAAGATGATATTTAAAAGATAACATGTAGGAAATTCTGAAATTTAATTAAAATAACCAGAGAATATCTCAATGCATTTTCCAAATACAGTATTAAATTTTTTTTCTATTTCAAGGCCTATCCATGATGATATACATTTGTAACTTTACCTTAACTTCATAATATCTTGTGGTATATGTTAAATCGATAATTAATCCAAGCTCCACATTTAGTGCTTTTACTGCACTAATCAAGTCTTTTGGTGTGAACTTCTGGGTTGGAGTAAGTCTCTGATTAACTGCCTATAATGAAAAATAAATAATAAGGTTACAAAATACAGATCTAATGTAAATACTCAACATAAAATGACCAAGGATGAGAAAAAAATATAAGGAGGCAAAAAGAAATTGGAGAAAACTTTCATAGCTTTAAGAACATTGACAAAGCTTTTCATGAATTATGACTGTGAGAAGGGCCTAGACATATTTACATCATTTGCTTCAATGATTCCATATCTAGAAAATTGTCCTAAGGCAATTATCATTGATGTGTGTTATGGAGAATGATTGGGGTACAAGAATATTCACTGTGCCATTATTTATAATAGCAAAACACTTTGTATGAAGGGTCCAAAACAAAGGATTACGTGTAAACATTGCAATTTATGAAGTTTTGAAAAGCTTAAGAAAAATAATCTGCCAATATCCCTCCCTAGAAGGATTTGAAGAAACTGTGAATTAATTATTATTTTCTCAGAGCACATTCAGTTTCCCAAAACATCCTAGGGTTTCTTGGGTCCTTTAAGCTGAGGGAGGAAGAACCTGCCCTATAATAAGATCCACAAGACTCTGCATCAAATCTCCACAGAAATATATTCTGGTATTTCTACAAAATAGCTTATAATTCTTACACCAATGCAATCCAATAGAAATATAAGCCACATACATACTTTAAAATTTTCTAGTAGCCACATTCAAAAAGTAAAGATAAAATTAATTTTAACATTATTTTATTTAACTCAATATATGTAAAATATTATTTCAACATGAAATCAATAAAAAATTGTTGAGAATTTTACCTTTTTTTTTTTTTAACTAAGCCTTCAATATCTAGTATTTTACAGCACATCTCAGTTTGGACTAGCCATATTTTAAGTGCTCAATAGACACATGTGGCTAGTGGCTACCGTGCCTCTTCCACAGTCACAAAGCCCAAAGGCACTGGTTCTCCAAGTACAACACAAAAGAACTGATTAAAACTTTCTATATTAGCTAAAGTTTAGTTTAGAATCTATGGGAGGACATTCCTAAAGAACTTCTTCAGGCTGTGTTCACCTTCAGAAATTCAGAAAGTGCCTCATTCAACTAGTATTAGTGAGTTTGGTTCTAACAAGATTCTTCCCAATTAGCAAAAAACCAGATTTGTTTTGGTTGACATCCTTAACTTTCTATACAAGGATACTATCTCCTAGGTAGTTAAAAAAAAAAAAAACAAACTTAAGTATGTTTGATGTCTTGTGACAGCCTTCCTTACTCCTTGTCCCTCTTAATTTCTAGTTGGAGGGGCTGCTGTGATACCATGGGAGAACTCTAGAGAATCATAAGAAGTTGGTATATCTTAGTTCCACTATTACCTTGTTATGTGTCCTTAAAGAAGTCACCAAAGCCCTATGGGCCATGGTTTTATACATCTTTAAGATAAAGTGAATTGCCTCTATCAGGGATTCCCAAACCTAGCTGCCCAACACATTTACCTAAGAACTTTAAAAAAAAAGTTTGTAGACCCCATTCTGAACTAATTAAATAGTTCTTGCAGGTAGGGGAGTAGAGTCTGGAAACCATTTTTAAGCTCACTTGGTAATTCAGAGGCAGCCAGAAAAGACAGTCTCAGACCAGCATTTAGAAACAACTGTACTGATTTATCCTTATATGCACTTAACTCTAAAATTAGCTATGTATCCATCCAGATAATCTCCTCTTTCAAATATCCTAATCTGAAGTCCCAAGGCTGGATTAGCTAAGGATTATCATACCCACTTTCTCATAGTTTGAGGCATTTAGAACAGATTTTTTAAATGACATGAAGCTTATTTTTATTCTCTAAGTGTTAGCCTCATTCTGCTTCTAAAGAGTGATCTTCAACACAAAGATCACACGTAAGATCAGAGATTAAACTAATTACAAATAAATGTAGCTAGAAATAAATGTGTGAAGAGAGACTTCACTCATTAATTACCAAAAGCTAAATATACATTTCTTGAGAGTATTCTCCAAGTCCTTTCTACACTTTCTTTATGTCTTCCTCCCCATCTCTACCCTATGCAACAAGTTAGCTGGGAATATACTTTTCTCATAAGAGTTAGCCAGATTAGTTTTTTGCAATTTGAACTTCTATGCTACAAAGGAAGAGAAAAAAAGCCTCTATACCTGCTCAAAACTAATCAACCAAATCATCTGTCCCATTTCCTCCAAATGGCCAAAGCTTACATAGATCTGTAGAACTCAAGATAATATGGTTTTGATGATTATTAACCTGATCTTAGGTGAAGGCAGCTACCATTTATAGAAATATTAATATGCTAATATCAAAATAATCCCACCTAGGGATATAACCAAGGTCATTAGCTATGCTAACTAGGAAGGGGGTGAAACCCTCAGAAACAGGTCAAAGTCTTGGATTCTGTTGCTGTAGCTGACCCTGCCCATGCCCTGACCATCACAACTTAGCATGTTCAAGGGCATGTTGTAGCATCCTATTTATTTGATCTGTAGGCTTTCTCTGGTCTGCATAATCAGGGTAGGACAAGAAGTTTTAATGCTCTTTAGAAAAGCCTCTAGTCAAAGATAGAGGACAGTCTAAGGATAAATACCCTAACTTCCTCCCCCTTGAGTTAGATAACTCTGAGGCTTACTCTACAGAGCCCCTTACCAGTATAGAGCTTGCTCAGAGTGATAACCTGAGAAAACACATTTTCTGCTCGCTCCATTCACTGTCCTGTTTCACAGCTACCTTTTTCTCACTGGTGCTCCCTGGGATCACCTCCTTAATAAACCACCTGAACTCATATACTTGTCTCTGGGTCTGCTTCTGACCCATAAGCATTTGGGTCTTCCAAATTAAGACCATTTATCAAATTAGAATCTAAAATACAGGTGGGTCTGTAGTGAGAGTTACAGTTAAAACACACACACATTCACACAAGAGAAGTTACAGAATGCATACTATTGGGACAACAGCAAAGGTCTTTGTGATTAAGTTCAGAGGCTTAGAAATCATCGGTCCAACCTGGGCTTCAGTCCCAGTTCTGTCAATATTAGCTCTGTAACTTAGACAAGTTACTTTCCTCTCTAAGCTTCAGTTTCACCAAATGTAAAACAGTATTTCCATTATAGGATTGTTATGAGGATTAAATGGTAAAATGCAAAAATGTATAATCCAGGGCCCAGTGCATATTAACTGCAAAGTAGTTAAGGTTATTCTTACACTGAAGTGGAGAAGTGGGAGTCTGCTTTATTACATGAGATTACACTGAACTCCAGTCACCTAGAAAGGACTGCCTAGAGGGCACACAGAATATATAGACTAAAAGATGGAGGGATGTAACAGCTTGTCACCGAGTACTCAGAACATTTCATGAAAGGATTATCCCGCTTTAGTCCACTGGAATTTTCTTGCATCAAATTCAGTTTCAAATAAGGTATTAACCATGAATGAAAAATAATTTTGTGGAAGAGATCTCATTGGAGCTGAGGCTCTGAAAAGTTAAATTACTTGACCAACATCACAGGCTAAATGGCAGTCAGACTATAACCCAGAAATTTTCATCTTTATCCAGCTCATGATACCAGGCTGCCTCATTCGATATTCTTTTTCTTCCAGATATGAAGGTTCTAAGTTTCTGCATTTATGTTAAACAGAAGAATACAGAATTTTAAAAATGTTATCAAGTGTTATATATTGATTATCTAGAGATAAATATGTCATTTTGTTGTCCATAAACTTAACAGTATGTTTCTACATTCTATATCTGTTATTGCTCTCAAGGGTGTGTGCTGATAAGACCATTTATCAAATTAGAATCTAAAATACAGGTGGGTCTGTAGTGAGAGTTACAGTTAAAACACACACACATTCACACAAGAGAAGTTACAGAATGCATACTATTGGGACAACAGCAAAGGTCTTTGTGATTAAGTTCAGAGGCTTAGAAATCATCGGTCCAACCTGGGCTTCAGTCCCAGTTCTGTCAATATTAGCTCTGTAACTTAGACAAGTTACTTTCCTCTCTAAGCTTCAGTTTCACCAAATGTAAAACAGTATTTCCATTATAGGATTGTTATGAGGATTAAATGGTAAAATGCAAAAATGTATAATCCAGGGCCCAGTGCATATTAACTGCAAAGTAGTTAAGGTTATTCTTACACTGAAGTGGAGAAGTGGGAGTCTGCTTTATTACATGAGATTACACTGAACTCCAGTCACCTAGAAAGGACTGCCTAGAGGGCACACAGAATATATAGACTAAAAGATGGAGGGATGTAACAGCTTGTCACCGAGTACTCAGAACATTTCATGAAAGGATTATCCCGCTTTAGTCCACTGGAATTTTCTTGCATCAAATTCAGTTTCAAATAAGGTATTAACCATGAATGAAAAATAATTTTGTGGAAGAGATCTCATTGGAGCTGAGGCTCTGAAAAGTTAAATTACTTGACCAACATCACAGGCTAAATGGCAGTCAGACTATAACCCAGAAATTTTCATCTTTATCCAGCTCATGATACCAGGCTGCCTCATTCGATATTCTTTTTCTTCCAGATATGAAGGTTCTAAGTTTCTGCATTTATGTTAAACAGAAGAATACAGAATTTTAAAAATGTTATCAAGTGTTATATATTGATTATCTAGAGATAAATATGTCATTTTGTTGTCCATAAACTTAACAGTATGTTTCTACATTCTATATCTGTTATTGCTCTCAAGGGTGTGTGCTGATGGAACAACAGGTTTTGTACTATATGACTAATAAGAAAAAAACTGCAGTTATCATGTACTATGAAGCTAAATATAAATGCATAAAATTAATTGTTTGGCAAAAAAAAGAAATTACTAATACATACAAACATGGATAAACCTTGAAAACATGCTAATTGAAAGTAGCTAGTCACAAAAGACCACATATAATATGATTCCACTTAAAAGAAATGTCCAGAATAGACAAATCTATAGAGACATAAAGTAGATTAGTAGTTGTCAGGGGTCAATGGGAGGGGAAAGGGGGAGTGACTACTACTGGGTACAGGGTTTCTTTTTGAGGTGCTGGAAATGATCTGGAATTAGTAGTGATGACTATACAGTTATGGATACATTGAAAACCACCCAACTGTATACTTCAACAGGGTGAATTTTATTATATAAATATATAAGAAAGTAACTGAAAGATCACTGAAAAATACAAATCTGACTTAAATTGGGAGACAAATATAAAAGATTCTGAACTGTGCGCTCATACATTCCCAATGTCAGAGAAAGTAAGAGAAACTAAAGTTGCCATGGATCTGAAGCCACATAAAACATGGCATGGGTTTCAAGTATCTTGACTTTTTAGGAAATGCTATACAAAAGAGTTGATAAATTAGTAAAAGAATGCTGAGTTTGGGGAGGGCAGCTTCTAAAAAGTTATCCATCTTTATTTTTGGATTATAGCTTTAAATAGCTATCAAAATACAAAAAAAACCCCACAAAAATAACATTAGGATTAAAGATATTTTCCCTCAAAAAAGTATTTAATCTTGCTAAATCTGTTTTGAATAAAATATGTTTAACCATTAAAAAGTAACTTCAACTTGGTAATAAAAAGAAAATATGTCAAATCTATGAAGATAAGAGATTAGTAGTTGTCCTGAGGGTGGAGAGTGACCACTACTAGACATGGATTTTTTTTTCAGGGGGAAGGTAAGGGGTGATGAAATGTTCTACAATTATTGTGACAGCTGTACAACTTCATAAATATACTAAAAAGCATTGAATTGTATACTCTGAATAGGTGAATTCTGTGGTATGTTAACTACATATCAATAAAGCTATTAAACAATTAATTCAAAACTACTCCCTTGGTCTAGCCTGGACAATTAATAAGTGTGTGAAAAAGTTTATTGTTACCTCCATAATGTCAAACATTTGCTGGAAATGTGCATTCAAGTATTTTTACAAAGAAAAGCATAATACTAAGTAATATATATATATGGATCACATTAGTCCTAATTATCCTTATAAGAAAGAAAACAAAATAATATACATACTCCCTTTAAAGGAACTTTAAAAGCAATAAATCGGGTTCCAGGTAGAGGATGTCCAATTGGTGTCACAGTCCTCCAACTGCAATGAAAATAAACCACGATTATAACAAAAATATTTTAATGACTCAAGATGGTAAACAAAGAAACTATTTTTTAATAAACAGAGCCTAATTTGTTGGTTAGTTGCTTTCTTAGGGCTTTCACACATGAAATTTTAATTTACTGCTTCCTCCCTCAAGAACTTTAAGGTGTTACATATGTATGACACTTCTAGAGTAAATAAGGTAACACCCATTCCTGATATAAACTTTCAATAACCAGAGTAACATTTTGTTATTTTTCTTGTGCAAGAATAAGAGAAGGATAATAGTTTATGAACTTAGATCAGTGTCACTATTCATTAAATAAAGAATGGTAATAAGTATTAAATTGGGACTATTAAAAGTAAAATATGAAAACCTATAATGTTTTAATAAATGGTTAGGAAACAAAATCATTTTCATTGTGATTACTTTTGAGATACCTTGTCTTGGAGATATCTTTTCTGATTAATATTGAATTAAGAATACAGTTTATTAATTTAAAATACCTTTGTTTACCCATAATGATTTTTTTTATGAAGAACAAAATAGAGGTCTCTGGTTATTAAATCCTTTGTCATATAAATAATTACTCCCTATGTTTGATAAATTCCAGTTGTAACACAAAGATTTCTTAAAATAAGCATTTAAAATTCCCTGCCTACTACTCCAGCTCCATCTCAGGCTCTGGCTTCATTCTTTCTTTTGCTTAAGTCTTTCCAATGCTCTCTTCTATTCCTCTACCTACCACCCACCCCATTTTATCCCTTCAGTCACCCTGATTTCAGCTCAAATATCAGTCCTCAAGAAAGTCTTTTGACATCCATCCCCCTATTCCTAGTAGACATACCTTTTATCTTCCTTCATGGCACTTAGTAGAGCTTGTAATTACATACATAATTATGTGATTTACTGATAAATGGTGGTTTTTATCATAAACTGTGTGACTATGTCTGTCTCCACTCATAGCAGTACCTACCATCCAGTAGATGCTCCATAAATAAATGTTGAATAAATTTGGTTTTATAAAATCAGTGTTTAATGTACTGAAGTGCTTACTTCAATATGAAAAAAGTCACTTATGTATTATTTATAGAAATATATAAATACATGTATACAGATACATACAGATATATGCATATAGCTAGCTAGCTATATATATATATATATATATATATATAGA